GAATTTCCACCGAGGTCATGTGATATTACGCCGTGTGATTTCTTTTTGTGGCCTTACCTTAAAAACACTATTTTTGAACTGCCTATTCCTGATTTAAACCATCTGCAGGCTCGACTTATAGACAAGATTCGTGAAATTAACAATACCCCGAGCATCTTAGAAAATGTCTTTAATTCTTTGAGGAACAGGTGTGAAAAGTGCTTGGAACAAGGAGGGGGACACTTTCAGCAGCTGCTTTAATTTATTGTTATAACAAGGAGGGGGACACTTTCCGCAGCTCCTTTAATTGTTTGTTATTGTTATCACGATTATTCTTTAAAATAAAGTTATATAGTCATTAACGTTATTGAAACTGACAGCTGCTATACAGCTCGTTGAGAAATAAGGTTAAGTTGGTCGCTATAAGCTACTCCCTACGTCCAATGTGTCAGAGCCAACTTCGACCACGTTTTTATTTGAACGCTCGTTATAATTATACATATTGTGTTCTGATGGTTACAATTTGAACAGTTCACTGACCGCTGAGACCCAAATTTCAAGATTGAACTTGATGTATTTGTAAAGGCTGCCATAGTTGTTTAGGTTTTGGGTGGTCAGTAGATAGGGAATGTTGATTGGAAAAATTACCCCATTTTTTGATAATTCCTTATATAAACTGTCGCGATGTATCTTATACCGAGGACATTCTAGAAAGATATGTTGTAGGTCTCGGATTTAATTGCAGGCACAATATGGGTTGTTTGCAAGGCCTATTTTGTGTTTGTGTTTGGGATATAAACCATGGTTTGTTCGGATACGGCATATTGTCTTAATAAACTGGCGATTCGAAACTGATTTGTACCAAATGTTCTTTTGTATCAATGGTTGAACTTGTTTATAGTAGTTTCCAGTTCGACTCTGCTCAAATTTATCTTGCCATACATTATTTAGAATCGTCAAGTAAAAGGCATCCAAATCTGATGGGGGCACGATCTTTCGGTCTGAATAATTGCTTGTTGTAACAGTATCTTTTGCAAGCTTATCCACTATTTCATTGGTTCTATGCTACAGTGTCCTTTTATCCAGACAATCTCTATGCTTTTGTGTCTTTTCATCATCTTGTTGTTTACTGTTAGGATTTCCACTTGGATATTGTCAATATTGCTTATTGCATTTGAATGTAACTTGTCTACTGCTTTTACAGTCGGTGAAAACTACCACGTTTGGATTACTTAGCGTATTTGAATATTTCATAGCTTGCACAATTGCATATTGTTCAGCTGTGAAAATGGAAGCTATGTCTGGCAGTCTAAATGTTTTGAACAGTTTAGTGTTTTGATTGTAGTAGGCGCAGCTTATTTGATTGTTTGTTTTGGAGACATCTGTGAAGATTATTTGTTCGGATTTTGTCCATTTACTATTTAATTCATGTGTAAATAAGGTCTTCGCACATGGGGAATCCATTTTTAGGTGACTGGTTTTGACTGGAGTTACTAAATCTTCGAGTTCCGTAGAAAAATAAGGATCTAATTTATCCGTGTGTAAGTGTGGAAGTTGTTCCTGAACCTTTAAGTAGGAATTAACTAGAGTGGGAGACTTTTTGGAGGCCCAGCAACTTGAAATCAGATCCAGAGTCGTTAATTCATGTATGTTATTAATTAATTGCCTCTCTTTAGAAATTAATCTTGTTTAGTTCTGTCACTCAAGTATTGTCGTCTTAATTCTAGGGGAGGTTCGTAAGTTTCGACTTCTACCGCAGATATTGGAGTAGTGCTTAGTAGGCCCAGACAATAACGGAAACATTTGTTTTTTAAAACTTCAATTTTTTTTTAAATGTGTATCTGCTGCTGTCGCATATAGAATGCTACCATAATCTATATATAATTGATCGTACCAAGGATTTGTAGAAGAGGATTGCAATATTGAGGTCGGCCCTCCAAGAATTTTTTGAGAATACTTTAACGATGTTCATTGAATTTTGTGTTCTTTTTAGTATTTGTTGAATTTGATCTTTCCAAATGAGCTTTCTGTCTAACAATATGCCTAGGTATTTTACTGTACTTTTTGTTGGGAATTCATGGGGGCCCAATTTTGTTCCCGGCTGGAGCTGGGTTTTTGTGCGACTGAACAAGCATGTGGCAGACTTATTTTCAGCTATGGTAAATCCATTGGTATCAGTCCATATTTTTATTTCTTCCATAATCTTAGATAGATGGACGGTGCATTGATTGACTGTTTTGTTTTGAGTGTAAATACAGATGTCATCGGCATACTGAATTACTTTTGCGTTGTGGTGCAGGGAATTTGTGAGATCCATAGTGTATACAGGGTGATTCATTTACAATGGGAAAGTCGAAAGCTGAAGATACTACACGTGAAATGGTGACGATTGGTGCAAACATGCCTTATCCGAAAGTTAATAGTTTCGGAAATACAGGGTGTTAAAAGTTAAAATTTTAAATAGGAACTTGACAATTTGTGAAACTATATTTTTTTAGGCGACGAATAAGATGCGTGTTGTAATTTCAGCATTGCTCATAGAGGGCGCCACTTACGACCAATTTTACCGAAAATTTAGTTAATAACTTTTTACCCTGTATATTTAACATGAAACTTGATTCAAAACCTGAAAAAGCTATTATTTTTCCATTAATTATATACTCCTATTTCATTTCGTTATCTCGATTTGTTTTCGAGAAAAATCGATTTAACGAACACTATGTTTTGATAATATGAGAAATTAAAAGCGAATAAAACAAATAAAATACGTAATCATGATTTAAAGTAATTGTTCGAAGAATCCACCGTTGACACTGATACACTTTACACGATTTCTGAGAGATCTTCGAGTTTGAAACAACATATTGGGCTTGCGTCAGACTTCGTTGGCAGCGATTTGTATTCTTTGCCACAACTCTTCACACTAGCCAATAGATTCTTTGTAAACTACATCTTTCATTCGAGACCAAATAGAAAAATCAAGAGGATTGAAGTCCGGACTTCTGGATGGCCAAGCAAAAATGATTATATGGCCAATCCAGCGATTTGGAAAAACTGCATCTAAATATGCACGCACTGGCCAAGAAAAATGCGATGGAGTTCCGTCGTGCATGAACCACATGTCTCTTCTTAAATAAAGTGGAACTTCTTTAAGCCGTGGAAGCATTTTTATTTGGCCACCCGGACTTCAATCCTCTTCATTTTTCTATTTGGAAGAATCTATTGGTTCGTGGAAGAGTTTTGGCAAATAATACAAATCGCTGCCAACGAAGTCAAACGCAATCCCAATATGTTGTTTCAAACTCGAAGATTTCTCAGAAAACGTTGTGTAAAGTGTGTAAATGTCAACGGTGGATTCTTCGAACACTGACTTTAAATCATTATTACGAATTCCATTTGTTTTATTGTTAATTGTTGTTATAACACTAAGAAACACTTGGTTTCTTTCGCTTTTAATTTCTCGTATTATCAAAACATAGTGTTCGTTAAATCGATTTTTCTCGAAAACGGATCGAGATACCGAAATGAAACAAGAATACACAATTAATGGAAAAATGATTGCCCTTTCAGGTTTTGTATCAAGTTTCATGTTAGACATACAGGGTAAAAAGTTATTAACTAAATTTTCGGTAAAATTAGTCGTAAGTGACGCCCTCTACGAGCAATGCTGAAATTATAACACGCATCTTATTCGTCGCCTAACAAAATATAGTTTCAAAAACAAGTTCCTAACCTACCTTGAGGTAATCCAATGGATGAATGCCTACATTCGGTAATCTTGTCTCCGATTTTGAGGTGTATTCTTCTATTTGAGTACATATTAATAAGGTTATTGGTTAGCTTTGCTGGAATTCCGATTTTGGAAAGTTTAGATGCCAGGCCGTCCAGTAATATATTATCATAGGCTCCTTTTATATCCGGGAAGACAGCTAATGTAGAGTTGTTTTTGGTGAAGGTAATTTGTATATCTGTGACTAGTGTAGCTAGGGCTTCTTGAGTAAAATGTCGAAAAATAACTTTGAAATAATATGTAGTCTCCGAACTATATTTCCGACTCAAATTTGAGAAAATCCGTAATAATCTGAGTGCCTTGTATGCTTGTTAATATTAAAAAATGCGAATAACTATATAAAAAAAATTAATTTCAAAGAATCACCGGCATTACAGTCGAAATGGGTACTATAAGCCACCCTGCGTACGGGTCTATTCGAATAGCTTCTGTATAATTAATATATTTTAGCTTCAAAAATGTCGCTGAAGGAGAATATGTACGTAGATATACCCCTCCTTCAAAAAGAAAATATATAGGCGAAATGATCAAAAATATAAGAACTGAACTCCAGTTAGTTCTGCAAGATACTTCTTGGATAGATGAAGAAACAAGATCTTACGCAATGAATCTTTTACAAAATATTACTGGGGAAATAGGAGGGACTAAATTGGTATATGACGCCAATAAGTTCGAAAGCTTATTCGGATACTACCAGGTAAATTAAAAAATCTTCGCGTCAGTATAAAATAAGAGTTAATTTGTTAAAGGTAAATATGACTTCCGATAAGTTGGTAGATATGGCGAGATTGATGAACATTAATGAGGTGAATAGGTACTACCGTCAATTAAAGCAAACTACTATTGAACAGGAAAATGAACTTGCCAATACTCCGATATTAGATGTTAATGCATTTTATTTGAAACATTTTAAAAAACTAGGTAAGTTCCTAATTAAATTAAACGATATAATAGAGAAACATAAAATCCGATGTAATTAAATAGATCTTAGGAGATACGGACAATTATAATACAGTTAATAAGGACATGACAATGCTGTGTCATTAAACAACGATGTAGTGACGTTGTAGTCTACTGATTGTGGAAATAACTTTCCTGTATCATTTTAAATTTACTCCTACTTTGGTAACTCGAAATAAATGAATTCTTGAATACAAACAAGATCAACGATAAACTACTTTCAAGTGACTACATTTAGTTTAGGAATTAAATGTTTTAGCTGGAAAGTTTTGTAGGATTTTTGATATTAGACATATTTGTATAGATTTCAAGGTGACTTCTTTTAAACTTTGAGTTCTTACTTAGTTAGCGGAAGAGTGGGACAGTATATTTCGTTTCCAGTACATTTTACGGAAAATATAGTTACATATTAAATTTTGTTTTTCTGTTTTAGTAATTTGCCATCTGTCAAAAAATAAAAAAAAGTATACTAAATAAGCTCTTGCTCCAAATGAATCAGTCAACTTGAAACTGAGAAAAAAACTAGTTCAATCAGTTGGTGCTCAAAAAGGGGGTTGCCTGTAAAGTTTTAGGTGAGTTTTGAAAATTTGTATATTTATTGATTTTGACGTGCACATTCCGAATTTTTACTTTGACACCTATTTTTTTTTCGGAAGTAGCCGCCATATTGGAAAAATGGCGCTCCAAAACAGTTTTTCGACGATATTTCCTTTCCGACTCACTTTACGGTGAAAATTGTTATGTAATAAATTGAACTAGAGATCATTTCCTATAATTTATGTATCAACCTTTTTTCTGAAAAATGAATAGTTTCGGCGTACGAGAGCCGTAAAGTCTACTCCAACACGCGTATTGGCCAACAAACTCATTTCCACACCACCATGAGGTAGAGTTCCTGGCGCGTTTTTTTTTTTAGTGATATCCCCTGTAGGCCTAATCCACATGTGATGCACTGTTGACTAAATTTGGTGCATTCTCCTTCGCTTCGCTATCCCTGATGGACCAGATTTTGCGAGTTCTTCGTCTTCAGGACTGAGCAAAACCTCACGAATAGGAAGTTCTTTCAAGTTATCCGCGATAGGGTTCTCTTCTTCGACTTCATCACCTTCTTCCTCGATTTTGTCGAAGGTTTGCTGAAGAACAGTCTCCGTATCTTCTGCTTCATCACTGTCATTGCAATTCGCGCAGATAACGGAGCACTTTTAGTCCAGCCTTTCTGCATCCACGGACTCCCCGACATTATTTTTTACATTTGCAAGAAATTAGTTTTAGCAAGTTTGCTGGAGCTGGGGGCTCGAGTATGATGACAGGAATTAGCCCATTCTTGCTTTTTTCCATCCCCACCGCTCTGCATTTTTTCCAACTCCATACCACTGCTGAAACTGGTGATAGTAACGAATGTTGTCGTGCTGCTGCTTCTGTTGGTGGCTACGATGCAATATTAAATATATTTTTAAATGCTGACTTCGTGAAGCATGTATATTTGTAGGTATTTAACGACATACTTTTTACGTCACTGTAACCATACAACGCAAGGAGGAAGCGTTCTCCAGCTTCAGCAATGCTTTCCGGGTCAGCATTTGGGTTTTTAAATACCCGTACGAGCTCGTTTAAATCTCGGTAGTTCTTTAATAAATTCTTTAAATAAATTTAATATTGCATCGCTGCCACCGACAGAAGCAGCAGCACAACATTCGTTCCGTACCTATCACCAGGTTCAGCAGTGGTATGGAGTTGGAAAAAATGCAGAGCGGTGGGGATGAAAAAAAAGCAAGAATGGGCTAACTCCTTTCACATCGCTCAAGCCCCCAGCAAACTTGCTAAAACTAATTTCTTGCAAATGTGATAAAGGATATCAGGGAGCCTGTGGGTGCAGAACGGCTGGACTAAAGTGTTCCGTTATCTGCGAGAATTGCAATGGTAGGTACCTAAATTTAGTCAACAGTGCATCACATGTGGATTAGGCCTACTGGGGATATCACTAAAAAAAAAAAAAAATTCGCCAGGAACTCTATGTGGAAATGAGTTTGTTGGCCAATACGCGTGTTGGAGTAGACTTTGCGGCTCTCGTACGCCGAAATTATTCATTTCACAGAAAAAAGGTTGATACATAAATTATAGGAAATGATCTCTAGTTCAATTTATTACATAACTATTTTTACCGTAAAGTGAGTCGGAAAGGAAATATCGTCGAAAAACTGTTTTGAAGCGCCAGTTTTACAATATGGCGACTACTTCCGAAAGTAAAAATTCGGAAAGAGCACGTCAAAATCAATAAATATACCAATTTTCAAAACTCCTAAAATTTCACAGGCAAAACTTCCAACTGATTGAACTAAACAGACAAGTAAAATATATACATCACCAAATCACAGAGACCAACTAATTAACGTTTATAAAATCAACTAGAAAGATGTAGATTAGCATTCGTTGAGTTGACATTTTGCCGGTTGGTAAACTTTTTAAACACCCTTTACTGTAAAACCTTTAAATATCCTGTATGTAAAAGTTTGATAACTAGGCTTAGTGCGGCGCAAAGTTTAACAGGACCGTAGTCAGATTACGAATGAAAATATTAATATGTTTACAGAAAATATGCCGCAACATAGTAGTATCACCAAAGAGCAAGGCTAAGTAGAGGATAAAATATCTATATAAATTTAAATGACACCACTTACCCGATAAACCTTAGTGTTGAGACAAGGCTTCCGTGGCATATTGGAATAAATTAAAACATATTACTACATGCTTTTCAACATTTCCTTTAGTGAAACGGCAACGTTTATCACTTAATATTAACTTGTGTAGGGAAAATGACCGTTCAACATCCGTTGTTGACAACGGACAGTATGAGAAATTGTTGAGGCATGAACTATATATTAATATATTATGTGCTGGTAACTTCTGATATGTACCAGATAAAACTTTACATATTGTGATATACACAAAATTTCAGAACGAATTAGAGAGCTAAACATCAATACAGATCAAGGGAAAATTAAAATAAAAAGAATGATCAAATCCAACACTCGAGTTATATTAAATATTAAATATTAAATTAAAAAAAATAAATAAATGAAATTAAATCAAACCAAAGATAATACACTAGATGGATAATGGGAGATTAGAAATCAATCAGTAAATAATAAGTTATAAGCTATAAAAGATAAAATTTTGTAGAGAAATCTAATAGAATTTAAAATGATCCGGACAAATGTCAAAATTAATAAACTTTTGTAAATTTAAAATATTAAAATTAAGAAATTTAATGCTAAAATAGCATGAAAGGATAGTTAATTTAATAAAGAATCACCTGAGCACATAAAATAACAAGATCCTAAATGTGTTAAAGTAAATTTTAAAAAGTACATAATATGTCAATAACGATAAAGTAACGAAGGATAAAAAATTTTAATATAACTCTGTGCCAGATAATAAAAAGTAATAAAATGTTAAATTAACTATACCTTAAATGAAATTCCATAGGTAAGATAAGATTCACAATATTGTAAACTATTAAATTTTCATAAAACCAATGTAAAACGATCCCCAACGGAGAAATTTCTAGAAATTATAGTTAGTGTGTGGAACATTCCGAATAATTGTGTATGAGGTGAAAGACTGATGTCCAGAGACTACAATACTTCATATCATTCCATATAAAAACATTTTTTTTAGATAAACTTTCAAAGTGAAAACGGTTACCTACAAGTACCTACAAGTAAACAGACTAAATTACAGAATTTAAGCTAATGGACAGTATAAATATAATAAAAGTAAAATGTATAGGACAATGTTTAGACCCAAATGCTTAGATTTTAGTTAGAAAAAGTTTTTTTTTTGAGAGATTTGCATAATTATGTTAAAAATTGTATTAGGTTAGGAAATACCCGTACTATATAATGTTGCATATCAAAGTATTCGTTATAAGCCAAGGAATCCAAAAATGATAATCCTTTTTCCTAAAAGGCAAGCATAAGTCCAAAATTTCCAGGCAAATTTTTCACAAATTCAAAGAAACGTCAATTGCCTAGCAACGATAATCATTTGTCTAGGATATTATAAAAACAGGAACGGGACCAAACAAACGGGAGTAGTAATTTGGCAGTCGTCGAAGTAACATGTAACATGTCAAGCCTAAAAAAACAAATTAACAAAGTAAAATCAAAGTTTTATATGAAAAATAACGTACCCGAATATAAATAAATAACCTAGTACGACGAATCGACATTTCTCAGTGATTATGAATCAACCTGGAAAAATCTATTAAAACCAAAAGTTCCTAAAAGGGTAAAGTCAATTGTACAAATTCTCACTGTCAAAATTTTGTAAAAAAGTTAAAAAAACTACAGTGTTAAAATCAAGTGAAGTGTACTGAACAATACCAGTGCCAGAATTTAGTACCAGAAAGAAAGAAAGAGAAATCCAAAGTGGACCTGTTATGTATCCAGAGACCATCGAATTTGAAACTAGAAATACCAAAGCATGGAAATGAAAACTCAAGACAAGATAAGTAATTAAGCTAAGGTAGCAACTTGCAACACACTTCTGATCTATCATAGGTTGCATATGTTATATGGCCATAATAAAATTTAAATTATTTAACGAAATTGCTATTTAAATAGAGAAATAATTTTATTCCAAAATAAAAGAAAACAAAAGTGCACAATTTAAATTTAAATTCAATTTTAAATTAAAAGTATCGATCGATAAAAATATTTAACAAAATTAGAATAAAAATAGCATTAGTTTATAGGAATAAAAAATTAATTTTGTCAATTATAACTAGAAGTTATGTTTAATATATCTAATTTGTCACGAGTTGAATTTTAATCTTTTATTATCTAGATCTATAATCAATTATTAACTAAAGTAAATTTTAAAGTGCAAAATAAAAAGGTTATAAAATTTTTTTATATAAAGAGTGTTATAACATCCCAGAACCGCGTACCCAGAGAGAAAGAGGTCTAGCTCTATAAAGTTCATTACATAGTGATAAGCATGGCAGGTAAATATTGTAATTAATTTCTTTTAAAGGCGTCCAACAATCAACAGTATATCCCAAACAAAGTATAGTTTTTACTAATCATATTCTAACAAATTTTACATATTAACCAAAATAATAAAATCACTTATCATTCATCAAACAAATTAAAAAAAAATATTTTTTTTTTGTTAATACACTTAAAGAACAAAAATAAAAATAATCAATCAATAAAATTAATCAATTAAATAATAATTAAAATAATAATAATAAAAGAAAAATTTTATTTATTGTATTTGCAAATAGTATTTAATCACATTATAATATGTTTTCTAAAATGGTGTATCCTGGATTTTTTTCCAACACTGCATTTTTTCTTTTATCCTACTACTGACTGGGCGTATTGGCATCGTATATATTTTTTTGTACATCATCCATTATATCAAATTGTTCATTTAGGGATAGTCCATGTGATTCCAATTTACGGAATTACGGAACTTGGGGTTCTCTAGTTTAAAGGCGTCTGTAAGTTCATATAAAAATACAGAGTCTTCAGCGGTGGACGAGGCATGGCTCTTCAAATGTCTTGTCACTTTAGTTTTGTAACAAGAATTTATAATGCCTTCACACACAGTACAAAACAGGTCATTTTCTTTAATATGTATGTCCCTGTAACCTTCGGGATCACTGTCAAACCACATTTGAAATAATTACTATTTATAAATAATTATTTATATACACACGGCGAATACAGCAGACGTAAAAAAGAAGGTATCGACGCAACACCAACAACTACAAGGTTCTGTAAACAACTAAACAGTTCAAACGCGAGTCAGCTGTGAAGGCCAGCGACCCCCAAGTCGGCTCTGCTAGACTGTAGCCTACTGATGACACTATTGCCAATTCTATCTCACAATTCATTGGATAAAGCCTGTGGTTTTTATAATTAACTACTTTACTACTGAAGACATACATTTTTTTTGTCACCTTTAGTTTATTTATTACATTACTATATTTTTCATAAATTATACTGGAGATGAAAACATAAACTTGTTTCTGCTGCCATATTCGCAAAATGTTAATTAATTTTAAAGTTAGATTTAACTATTTTATTTTTTCAGTTCTCCCTACACCAATTTTACAAGGAATTGTTATTGACGAACGGCGACCTCATTATATGAACCTCGGCTCTTTAGGAAGCATAATAGGTCATGAATTCATTCACGGTTTCATAGAATTGTCTCCCCATGAAGATATGGATGAAAATACTTGGTGGACCAACAGAACCACCAACAATTTCAAAAAAGTCAGTCAGTGTATTATTAACGGATACAATAGATATCCGGAGAAGGATGGTTTCAATAATGTGCGTAATTTTTAATTTAACATTTAACAATTGAAGCTAAATATTTTTGAGTATCTGATATAATATTTGAGCAACATTCAGAGGCTCCATACACCTCCTTTTTCCTCGACAATTTTGTCATACCAAAAATCTAAGTAAACAAAAGGTATTTAACGTCACAGACGATTTCTAACTGCTGATATTGCAGGAAACAGCTACTCTACGGGCAACATGCCCCAACTAACATTGAATTGCACCAGCAATAAATATCTAGTATACAGCTAGTAAATAATATTAATAAAATTATTAAAAATAAAAAAAATCAGAAACAATGTCTAAATTGTTAAATAATGCAGACTTTCCAAGAAATATCTTGACAAATACCAACATGGAAAAGTAGATAACTACTATAGAAAGATCTCACTATTTCCACACTTTAGATTTCCTCCAGGTAGCTTTATTGTGAATGGAATTAATAAATATTAATAGAACAAAATTATACTGTAAAAGTTTTGACCGTTAACAGGGAGAGGTAACCGGAGAAAACTATCACTCAGTATATTGATTTGATTGAAGCTTTAAGAAATCATTCGCCATAATACTCCAAATAAATGTGCAAAATTTTAACGCGATCGGTAAAAGGGTTATGAAGTTATTAATTAAATTAATATTATTTTTGACAACTTTGAAGGTTTGTAACTCAAAAACCAAAAATTTTTATTTAACTTTTTTTTTGTAGATCGTATTTGCTTATCGTCGGGAATATGCAATCAAACGTTGTCGGTGAAGTTTGCGGACACCCTTTATATAAAAAGCTTTAAAAAATTACATTTTGAAACGACAGCTAGTGTAAATAGTTTGTACTAAATTTCTTTTAAATATATATATTTTATTATCAGCGCTTTTTTCACATTTTCTACTCAATAGAGTAGAAAATGTGTAATATAATAATATTTATAATAATAAAGGTTAATTCAAAATAATTCACAAAAAAAATTCTTAAGAGATTCTATGAAATGAAATCAAACGTTATAATTCAATGCTAGTCGTAGCATATAGCTCATAGAGCAGTTATTTCCTGCAATATTAACCATTGGATATCTTGTCAATGAAGTTAGATATCGCTGGCATACCCAAATTTTTGGCATCAAAGAACAATGAATGTATTGATAGGATTGTATTTAGTTCAATTAGTTTAATCCCTTAATACGAGAATAATTTAGTACTCCTAAATTTATTAAATCAATGTTACGTTATACTTATAAAACTATGGTATTTAAACTTGGTATAAATGTAGATAGTTTGCTATTATAGCACTAGCACTAGAAAACAGAATTATCTGAAGAATATTCGTGATATTGGGGTATCTCAGGGCTCAATATTATGACCATTGCTGTTCAGTATTTATACAGAAAATCATTGCAGTGAGCTAGAATGTTCTAATTCACATAATGTATGTTGGTGACAACTACTCTTATGTGCTACCGAGAAATCACATAAAAGTTAATGACGCTGTTATTCCAGTTGTTACAACTTGGTTTAATTTTTGATAATGTCTTCAACGTTTCTGCACCGATTACTCGTAGTATAAGTGTACAAAAATCTATTCTGATTTAAATTGCTTTATGTAAATAGAAATTAATTATTAATAAAACCCAGTATCCTGTTTTACTATTTAGACTTTCTTATTTCCAGAATAGTACAGTGTTTGAGGAAAATGTGGCGGATTTCTCCGGCGTAAACCTGGCTTACACTGCTTACAGAAAATGGAAGCAGACGAAAAAGTTAGGAGAAATGCTTCCTGGCGTAAAGTACACTGCAGATCAATTATTTTGGATCATGGCAAGCACATACTTGTGCTACGAACCGAAACTATTGGAAAAGGATGAATCCAGAAGGGAAGAACCTATTCACGCAGCTCCCAGCTATAGAGTGATAGGTCGATTACAAAATTCGCCTTATTTCGCCAGTGCTTTTAATTGCCCCGTTGGATCGCCTATGAATCCGCAAAATAAATGTCGAATATTGGCCTAGTACTATTACTCTGAAAGTGGACAAAAAAAATGAATAATATCCGTTGTTCTATCAACGAAATTACATTTGTATTTACTATTTTTTGTCATATGTTTATTTTTCATTATGAATATTTTTATACATCTGTTAATAATAAATAAACTGCGGTCTGCGCAATATTTTTGTTAATAATAAGGGGTGTTTATTTCATTTTTTAGGAATATACAGGGTGAGTCAGAAAGAATGGGTCAACAATAAGCTGGAGATACTAGACACCAAAATATTATGTTTGAGCTCATCATGCCTTATACGAATGTCGCTGGTTTAAGAAATACATGGCGTTCAAGGTTTAAATTTTATTTTTAAATTTCTCAATAATTGAGATAATTTTAATAGTATGACCTAGTAGGTTTTTTGGTGTGAGAATTACGATTTTGAAGCTTATTTTGACGTTGCTCCTAGAGAGCGCTAGTTTCGCCGCATTATTTAGGTAAATCAAAACATTTTTATTTTATCTGTTGAGCTATGCTTAAGAAAAGTTAAAAATCTAAACGTTAACGAACGTTCAATTCTAGATACAAAATGTATTCTTGTTTAGGTCGCCTGATTTTATCCGTTTCTAAGTTATTTGCATTTAAAAGTTTCAATGTATGTATTTTGTGGTGATTATTTATTCTCAAAAATGATAATAAACCTTAAATCAAATGCTAGAAGTGTCCATCACCTACCTCAATACATTTTACTATACACTCTCTTAATTGTTTCTTAATACTAAACAAAATGTTCCTATTATTTTTAAATGCCTTCGCGGCTACTTGTATTTTCTGCCGCAACTCCTCAACAGAATTAATTTCTTCATGATACACCACATCCTTCAAGTTTGACCATAGGTACTGAGAAGTCCAGAAGGTTTAAGTCTGGACTTCTCGGTGGCCAACAGAAATCACTCCAAGTCAAAATGTGGTGGCGTACCGTCGTGCATAAACCACATACTCTTTTAAAGCGAGAAGCATTATCTAGAAGTGCGTTTAAATTATGTTAAAGAAAGTTTAAATAATGAGGTCCAGTTAGATTAGGTGATAATTCAAAAGAAATGAATAAACCAGAAATTAAATCACACCAAATATTCACCTTAAACTCATGCTGAAAATGTCTTTCTTTTACAGCATGTGGAATACCACAAATAATTGTTCTTCCAATTGAAAACCTTCCGTCTAGTAAATGTCGCCTCATAGGTAAAAATAATCTTATTGAGGAAATCTGGGTTTTCCATTTGCATATTTTGTACAAACTGAGCAAATTGTAGGCGAGCTGGTAAATCTTGAGGCAATAACTGCTAAACCGGAGTATAATGATATGGATGGAGCATTTCTTTTTACAAAATTCTACAAATGGACGATTGGCTTACCCCCGTTGCCGCACTTAACCGACGAGTACTCATATCGGAATTATCCAAAACACGAATTAAAATTTCCTTTTTCATTGACTATGATAGATTTTAGAGTACCATGGTTACTTTTTGGCCGAAAAGATCCAGATTCGCCTAACCGGTTGAAAAGATTTCTGAATAGTTTATGACTAGGTTGCAATCTATTTGGGTACATGTGTTCATATCTTCGGGCCACTGCATGTCCGTTAAAATTAGCCTGAGCAAAAATACACGCATCTCACTGTTTGAAAAATTATTATGTCGTAGTATTTTTTGATCACTAGCTAATAATTTTGCACGAATAATAAATCGCCTGCACGCAAAATACGCTAATATTTATTGACATGGAAATTTGACACAAGTCCATTTAGAAAAGGAATAGCAATCACCTGAAAGAAAATCACCACAAAATACATTGAAACTTTTAAATGCAAATAACTCAGAAACCGATAAAGTTAGGTGACCTAAACAAGTGTACATTTTTTATGTAGAATTGAACGTTTTTTAAGCATAGCTCAACAAACAAAAAAATATGTTTTGATTTACCTAAATAATACGGCTAAACTAGCGTCCTCTAGGAGCAACGTCAAAATAAGCTTCAAATTTGTAATTCTCACACCAAAAAACTAAGTAGTACTACCAATTTTCAGAGTCATGCTATTAAAACATAAAAAGTTGATGACAGTCCTATTCTGTGCTAAATTAAATTAGTTCGGAATATAATTTTTAAAAAAAGAATAAACTTCTGGTATAAGCTGTATCAGTTTCCTCCCAAGTAATTAAACAAATTCTCAGATTATAATTATATACTACTACACATCGTTTATTACGAGGAATTATATACTCATTAATAAGCAGGGTATCCGCACATGGGAATGCGATTAGTAGGAATTGTTAATTATTATGTCTGATTAACATAAACACATTGTTTCCATTATCTGCTTCTCATAAAACTTTCCCACGGCGCCGTATAGCGTGAAGCGGTAAACTTTATAGCGACTGAAACTGCTGGAAAAAAATTATATAAACAATACCTGCATTTAACATGCCAGACCGGCTATAGGGACTCGTCAACAAAGTGTAAAAATATACAATAGACTCTTTCAGTGTGACGTCGCATATTTAGGCAACCAGCAACAAATTGTCATAGTTGCGGACCGAATCTGACCCTTGTGTGCTATTTACATAGATGCTATGTAAATGAACAACTTTAAATGAACACGTGTTTGGTAAAATAGATACACTAATGTGCTTAAAACTTATAAAAATCGATATAAAAGAATATTCCTAAATTTAACATTAGCCGTGTTATTCCTAATGCGCATGCTAGGAAGGAATAGCCTCATACACAGGTGTGATCTTGTTGATTTATCATCGCTCGTTGTCATCATTAGCGCATTTTCTCTTCTTTTATTTGATCTTGGTATTTTCTAGTTCTACTAAATATTTTTATTGTTTTTCTTGGTGTTGTGCTGTAATATTATGTTTAAGTAGTGTTTCTTCAAGTGGTTTATTGTAGACGTACTATTAATAATAACAAAATTTCTTGAATGATATCCTGTTGCAAGGCTAATTCGCTTACATTGAAATTATCTTTAATGCGCATGCTCAGTAACATTGATATAATTTTAATTTATTAATTGCTATAAAAGTTAATATTGTTCGATAAATTTAAATATATAAATTCTATAATTCTATTAGTTTGTCACTTGGGGTTTGAAACTTCTTAAATATTGCCAGAATATCGCAATATTTAAGGTCATGACAAAGAAGCCGTTTTTTTGGGACTTATGTCCAAGATACATAAGGTCGAAAATCGATCTAGTAAAAATATTGGGAAATTCTTCATGACAATGTGCACTGTGGGGTTGCCTATTATTTGGCGTATGTGACGTCACTACTAAAAAGGTATATTGTTCTGATGCACCTGAAGATATCACAATATTTTCAATGGCAAAGACACAAAAATGTTACATTTTGTTTTATATTTATTGTACAGAACTTTCATAAATGCCACGTGAAAATTAAATATTAAAACAATAAAATCAAGATTACATTAAAACACAATATTCTGTTTCACCGGCTACGATCGGGGTAATTTTTCACGATATTCTATTCAACCAATTAGCGATCGAATTATCTAAAGCGTAGACGTAACAGTTTGTCATTGTTCACTGTAAACGAATCATTAATATAAGATTTGGAGATGTTTCGTTACCAATACCAGCCTTTCAATGTTGGTTGAAACATGCATGAAGGCTCTGTAGTTTGTACCGTGTATTAGAGACAGGTATATATTATTAATTATAGGATTCCTACCTTGTACAAAATACCACTCTTTTTATGTTACTTTACCTAACTAAAACTGACATTATTCCAAATGCTCAATAACATTGGTAGAAGCATGAAAAATGTTGCAAATGAGCACTATAAACTCAACTCTAATGACATAGGCACACAAAAAAATTATCGGCTTTACGGAATAGACCCATATTACACTTTGTATCATCATTTTTTTTTACTGCAAGAAGAAGAAATTCTAAAAAGCAGCCAAAACTCTGCATTTATTAGATTTTTTCTTGGGCACAACCCTGGAAACGAGTGGACACATCATATTCCTGGTACTTCTTACATATTTTTGATATTCAAGTCTTTCGCAAGCCTCGCATCAATGAAAATAATGTGATTTGTTCGCTATGTTCCGAATTCTTAGACATTATTCCAATTTTTCTGACTATTTCTGTTTATTTTTATTATCAGAAGTTATTTATATGTTGCTTTCTTTTCTGTATATTTTGGTTTATGTCTCTTGTGAAATTGTTTTAAAATTAATTAAATGAACTTTGGTCCAAAAGGATCAGTCAGTGATTGTCTTTAAAATACTATTTTTCAGCCAAGTTTTTGGTGCAAGGGTTTATTTATTTAATTATAAATTTAAAAAAATTTTAACATTTTTTTTGACAGGTGGCAAAGTACAATAAACAGAGGAAAAAAAGCCTTAATAAATAAATGTTCTATTCTCCTTAAATAATTAAATATATAATTGACTACGGATCATCATTATTATCGTACCATGACATGATGAATGTGACAGCACTGATGTAAAATGTTCAGGTATGCATTTTTTTTAAATTCGTCCCCCTAACGGTGACCACCTTGTATAAGACGTTTTAAAATTTATAGGTACAGGTGGGTATTCGAAACACAGCCCAATTAGTTTAGGATTAGTTTTAATAAATTTACATAATTTTGTAATATGTTACATCTGTCTTTTTCATTTTCTAACGACATTACATTTACAATAATAAAGATGTACTCAACATAGTTCAAACAGACACTGATTGTAATTTCTGGAATAAAATAAACAAGTGTCGGTGGTAATTTCACAAAAACTGATTAATTAAATGTATGGTCTACACATCTACAACCTACAACTTCTTGAAATTAAAATATACGTTATAAAGCGGTTAGCCATAATAATAAATTTTTTTAATTAAATCAGTGAAACTTAACACCATATTAAGTTATAATTTGTCTACATATAAAATAATAATCCTATAATTTCTTAAAATGCTTTCCATTTCAGTTATGTAAGTAATTATTTACGCAAATCTCTTCAGTTGATTAATTAACAGAGTAAGGCATATAAACAGAGTTTTGTCTGCTGATGTAAACTGCACAGGAAAATTTTCGGATTTAGATGATCCTCCAAAAACATATTTTTAACA